AGACCAGCCTAAGCAAGAGCAAGACCTCGTCTCTACAAAAAACTAGAAAAAGTAACTGGCGTAGTGGGGTGCGTCTGTAGTGCCAGCTACCTGGGAGGCTGAGGCAGGAGGATGGCTTCAGCCCAGGAGTTTGATGTTGCAGAGAGCTATAATAACACCACTGCACCCTAACCCAGGCAACACAGCAAGACTCTGCCTTAAAAAAAAAAAAAGTAGCTGTTCACTATAAAAAAAGAAAATAACCCTAGAGAAGAATTCAGAAAATCAGCTGTAGGCCATCTTACCATACCACACAACTCAAATCCTTTCTTTTCCCTAAGGATATGCCTGTGAACACTTTGATGTGTCCTTCTAGATCTTTATGCATACATGCATGTGTGTGCAAGCACACACATATATGTATACAGAGATAAATAAGAGTATTTAGTTTTGTTTGCTTACACAAATGGGATATCATATATAATTTGTGACTTGTTTTACCTAATATAACTTGCCAGGTTTCTCTTCACAGAATTATCACAGTCCTTTTAATAATACGTAAGCACTTTTGTTGAAAACTTAGGATAAGAAAGGTAAGCCTGTAGAGAAACTATTCATAAACCTAAATATAATTAGTCCAAACTTTTGGAGTTTAGATATTATAATTCACTATATCAAATTCTGCTCACGCTACCACGACAGCAGGAGAGAGAAGAATCTTTCTACTGTACTTCTCAGAGAACTCAAGATTTTAGATCTGCTGTGCAATGCTCCTGAAGAATGGGTTTTTTGTTTTTACTGGTACCCTGAATGAGGGTCCCTGAGCTATGAGAAATGTATAGAGGATGGAATACTGGACCACTCCTCCTCTCCAGGTAGAGTATCTAAGGATAATGTAGAAAAACAAGTCTTAGGTAAATATTTATGATGAGCTCTAGCAACTCATTCCATATGCTAGAAGAAAACTGGACAATGCTGCCCTGTGAGAAAAACACCAACATTCGGGATGTTTCATTCCCTAAATCCTAGGATAATTACAAGAATAAAATAAACTGAAAACCTTTCATGACATTTACTTAAAACAATGCATTACTGTAGTTCATCAATTTTAAGACACAGCTCTCTTTTTTTTTTTTTTTTTTGAGACAGAGTCTCGCTTTTGTTGCCCGGGCTAGAGTGAGTGCCGTGGTGTCAGCCTGGCTCACAGCAACCTCAAACTCCCGGGCTCAAGCAATCCTTCTGCCTCAGCCTCCCGAGTAGCTGAGACTACAGCCATGCGCCACCATGCCCGGCTAATTGTTTCTATGTATTTTTAGTTGTCTGATTAATTTCTTTCTATTTTTAGTAGAGATGGGGTCTCGCTCTTGCTCAGGCTGGTTTTGAACTCCTGAGCTCAAACAATCCGCCTGCCTCAGCCTCCCAGAGTGCTAGGATTACAGGCGTAAGCCACCGCGCCCGGCCCCACAGCTCTCTTTTAACATCTCTGAAAATGAGGCATCTTAACATTAATGGTGTTTTACAGAGGGTAGTTGAGACTTAGTTATTGCCTGAAATAAGTTATTTCCCTTATGCCTTCCTTTTCACGCATGCCCAAAAGGGAATGTGACAGAATCTACATCCAAGTAAGACTGAAAAAGCTATTTTGGCAAGTGTACAATGTAATTCTGTGATTAAAAAAAGCACTGTTATAGTTTAATTGGCAGCATCTTTTTTCTCCTGTGGCATCTTGGTGTCTTGGATTCAATGAAATATGGTACATGATTTTTCTGTAGCAATTAGGTATATTTAGCATTAGGATGCACTGATGTATTTTTACTGAGAATTCCCATTAACCAAATGCAAGAATATGTCTTTCTACCTTCAAAGAACATCTACTGAGCTCCCTGTGTGGGTTAATGGAGATTAATTATGGTCTCTTTTGCACATGCAGCATTTCTTTAAGTGTAGTCCTAACATAGCCCAACTGCTTCTCATGGGTAAGAGTTCTCTCTGTCTGTAATCAATGGAATGAAAACAGCTGCAATTCCCACAAAGGTATAAATATGTGCTCTTTACTACAGAACTATACAAATGTTTTCTGGAGATTGGCAAATATATGAACTATTTTGTTTACAGAGAAAATTTTTACCTTAGGGCAAAGAGTTCACCCATTTTCTGCATGACTTCTTCATGAGATAGTTTCACTTTCTTCCCAGCTTTTAAAGCCTATTTGGAAGGAAAAAAAACAAAACAAAATCTCTCTCTCTCTCTCTCTCTCTCTAGTATTAGGTCCATAAGTCAAATTCTGAAGTGATGTAACTTTGATCTTATGTAAATATCTCTTAGGATGACTGTCTCCCAGATTAATGTCCTAACTCACCCTGAAATTTCACAATCTTACTAGGTAGAAATTTTATATTCTCTCTTCATTTCCCTTCTCCTCAGCATCTCCTATGGTATATATTCCTAATCTCTTAGTGGAAAAGCAGGGCCTCTTTTCCTAGGTGTAATTAGATTACTCTTTCACAATAAAGACAAAGTTAATTACAGTCAAAATGATTTTTAATGTATTTTGAAATTGTAATATAACTTTATATGTATTTTTCATGCCACTATTTTCTCATAATTTAGCAAAACGCTTTTTTT